AGTCGCTTCGGGTGGTGGTGCTGGTGGAAATGGTGTACTCTCAGTTGGTGTTGGCCTTGATGGTTGAGATGGCTCTGATGGTGGTAGTCCTGCCTTTGGCAGTGGTGATGGCGGTGCAGGTGTTGGTGTTGGTCTTGACGCTTGAGGTGGTTCTGATGATGGTTGTCCTGTCTTTGGCGGTGGTGATGGTGATGCAGGTGATGGGGTTGGTGATGGTGATACTGGAGATGGTTGTCCTGTTCGTGTTGCACTCCTGGCTGGGGCTTCTGTGGATGATCTGGCAGGTGCTTCTGCTGGTGTTTCAGGGACATCTGCATACGGATTATCACTTGGGGCTACGCCAATGGGAACATCTGGGGTATCTTGGTACTGACGATTCATGTGGCTATATAACCCATAGACCGTTGGGGGTAGACCACCACCTCTCCTGGGAATGCTCTGGAATGCGTCAGTTCTAAACACCAGATGACCACTGGGGGCTCTCTCAAGTGGAATGTGGATCGCATCCGAACCCCAATTAATGGTATAGCTACTCGTGGCTGTGAGGGTGAGCATCTCCCTGCCAGGTGCCATTTCTAGCACGGCATTGTGGTTGCTCATACTCCTCAAACCAAGTAGTGCTGGGAGGTCTCGGCCTTCACCTTCTACCATTGGGGTTTCGAAATTGAATGATACAGATTCTCCCCTAACCAATGGACCATCACCTTCTTCTTGCTGAGATCGGGGGTGAATGATATTGGGTACTGCTATTGGCAATGTGGCTACATGCGTACAGCTTTGGGTACCCTGTCCAACTCCCCTGACAGCCATTGGATTGGTCATGGACTTGCGCGTCGACCTCAGGCCCGCATTCCGCGCGGCTGTGGCTTGACGTTCAGCCCATTGCTGACCTGCTAGATTAGTCCATGCCCCGGGATCAACTACAATTGATTGGTGACCAGGCACTTGGGTGGATGAATGGTAAGCTGCTGCGGCTCCAGCTGCTTCTGGAGCATCTGGCCACCATGGAAAAGTGGGGGTCCCATGTGGTGTCCTAAACTCATCATGTTGATCTGCTCTTGGAGATGTGGGTGCAATGTAGCGATAGTGTGCAACTACATGTCCCCCGCCACGGCAACATGGGCATGTTGGATTTTCTTCCCTCAAAAGAATCTCAGTCCAACAGTTCTCATGGAAGGTGTGTCTGCAGGTCAATCGCACCAGTTGTTCTCCTGCATTGTATTCTTCCAAACAGATGCTGCAGCGGTGTTCATCCCCTAAGTATTCAACATTGGTGTGTTCGACATGTGGAGTTACCATGGGCTCTGCATGATTCGAGGGCACAGCAGTGGGGGCCGGATTCACCTCACTCCTCGAACCTTCCGAGTCTCTGTTCCTCATCTCCTGCAAGGTCATCATTGTCCGGTGTTGATGATGAAGAGCACGTACCTGCGGATGGTTGAATGCTGGTTCACTGACCTGTCCGGATACTCTAGAAGCTATTGGGACCTCACGCAGCTGGCTTGTCTGATGAAAGTCCCCCACAACTTGACTACGGATTGGGTCAAGGGTGCTGATAGCATTCTCTGAGACAATCGGATGATAGGTCGGTGCATGCACCTCCGAGGCAGTTCCCTGCAGGAAATTGAACTCGGGCATTAATGCCCATTCCGGTAATTCCGGGGCCGGATGCCGAAGGATCACCGTGGGGATCTCCCCTGGTCCCACGATCAGTGGGTGTTGCGGCACTTCGTGCCGTTGGACCGGTGGCGGTTGCATTGGTGGTGGTTGCATGTTTTGGGCAACATATGGTTCTTGAATAGTAGTCGATTCTGCAACAGGTTGCTGTAAAAATGGTTCATTGTTTACATTTCTACCCTGTGGATTAGTGGGGTTATTCTGGGGAGGATTATTCATTGGATTAGTGGCTAATGGGGTGTTATGGGTAAATTGGTTCATCAGTGGCGGTCCGAATGATCGTGGTTCAGTGGTCGGATGCATCAGGCCATTCAAGCCGTTGAAGACACTCTGCATGTACAGGGATTGGTCGGCCATATCCACTGTCCGGGTCGTGCGCGGCAGTGGTGGCATAGGGTTTACAATCCCCCCAACGACCTGCCTCCCCGTCCTGTTCTCGTGGTACCGCCTCCAAGGATCACTGTTGGCCCACGGGTCCTGAGGTGCAGCTGGCAATGTGGATGCATTTGATGGAGGTCCACCAGAAACTGTTGACCAATGATCAGTTCCAGATTCCTGTCCAACATTGACATCTACTTCATTAACCATGAGGACCGTGGTTGATGTGATTACTCCTGGGGGAATTTGATCGGCGGTGTCCAAGTCTACAAACAGGTTCTGCGACATGTCGGTGGCGGCAGCTCGTCTAGGGCATTTGGCAACTAAATGCTCTTCCGAACCACATTCGTGGCATTTCATCCTACGTCCATCCGGGCCTCTGGGATTGCCCTTTCTGCCTTTACCCTTTCCACTCCCTGCTCCCTTCTTTCCACCTTTTGCCCTGAAGGCTGGGAAAATTTCCATGAGCTGGGATTCATTGAGTTCTGACAGATAAGATGAAGTGTTGGTGATCTTGCCTTTGGGTTTTCCATGTTTTGTCTTACCACCTTTTCCACCTTTGTTGATTGTTCTGCGAGCAAACCTGCGTGCTTTGCGGGTCGGCTTGCCCATGAATGACCTCCAGCGTGCTTTAGCACGGGAATAGGCCCAGTAGAGTTCGGCTGCCTGTTCATTGGCCGTGGCACCCTCAGCAGCTGGCCAGGCTTCATCGCCATAGTCACTGCTGGTGTCAGTGTCGGTGCCGCTGTCACCCTGCCCATCTGCCAAATACACGTATGGATCATATGGCTGTGTATAAGTGGGGTATGCTTCGGATGACTGCCATTGGGACTGCCAAGAACCATGATCATGCCATGAACTACTGGGTTGGTCATATTGATATGGGGATACATTTTCATTCCATGAGTGATCGTCCTGAATATGGTAACTATGTGTTGGATTTTGTCTGCCCCTCAACATATTGGACATGTTTCCTGGTGCATTTTCAATGATCCTACCCATACGTCGAATGGCGCCTTTCAACTCCGTGAACTGCTGCTCATCAGCAGGGAGAGCACCACCGAGTGGCTGCAAGAGTTGGATCAGTTGAGAGTCCGACACACCTACTGCACGGATCAGCAACCAAGAAAGACCAGCATAGCTCAGGGCGAGCCCACCTGTTTCTGCCGCACGCATGCGGGTAGTATCAAACCTAGTCAGCAAAGTGTCAATCCGTTCATTGGATTCCCTTCCAAATGATAACAGATCTCCCACTGCCCCTAGCCGGACTTCTTCACCTAGCCTGGCAAAACGGGTGCTGAGCTGATACATCAAAAACGTGAGTGGATCGGTCTGGGTACCATTTACGGTCCCCCTGTCAAGATGGTCTGAGGCGGAAGAGTCCTGCTGAATTCCCGAGCTGATCCCTGCAACTGAGAAATCACACTAGCCGCCTTTCGGGATGCATCCCCATCTGTAGCAATGCTCCAAATTAAGATGTCCCGTGACCAAGTACTGAAGCTATACTGATGTTCCATTTCGGGGCTCCAAGCGGGTGGCAATCTTGGATGACTACTCCTACCTGGCACCATACAAGCAACAAACGCACATGTGCTGAGGCCGCCTCCAGCGGCTAGCATCAGTGTTGAGTCCGAGAGCGATCTACCATCACGGTGACCTGCGGTCATCGAACCCGAGTTGCCATGGGTGTCAAGAGACTTCGCCATGCGACTGCCTGCTCTGGATCCGGTCATGCATTTGGGGTTCCTGGATCTAATGGCTGCATCTTTCCCATAGACCAGCTCACAGAGTTCCTTGTGACGGGCCTTTAGATGTTTCAGCTTAGAGTCGTACATGTTCAACATCCTTTCAAGTACTGATCTCTGCTGCCGTCTAAGCCGTCTACGCAGAAGTTCTGTCCTACGCTGATCTCGAGGGTTCTTCTTGAACTTCCTCCTTGAGTGGTGCAGCCGCACCAGGGTCGAATTCAGCTTCTGCCTCCAAAGATCCCCATTCACCAGGCTGGGCTTGTACTCGCCTTCGGACCTGGCCTGTACTGGGGCTTTGCGACCATTGCTCGTTGCATACCAGTGTGTAGTGACACTGATCGAGCCTGCCCCAGCCGCACTGGACTGGATCACAAGGGCGCTGGTATTGCGACCCTTGATCACCAGCCCAGTGCTAGCTGAGACAGACCCCACCAGTGCCACTGCTAACACGGCACCCAACTTCAGCACGGCGGTGAACATGATACCAATCAATGGAGGGAGAATGAAAAGAAAAATGAAACCGTCGAGTCGACCCTTAGGGTATAGCAGATGCCTTAAATGGGGTTACTGCCGGGGTTCCCGGCTCCGCTACCAACTCGAAAAATAGGAACTAAAGTGACAAAGATGTACTGTTTCCGCAAGTGTCTGTTTTCCTCTGACTGCTTGTGACGAGGTCTTGTGTTTACCTAGGTCGAGCTCTAGAGCCAGAACAGTTACATGGACAACAATGGATCTGAGGTATGATAGATCATGTACCTTTCAAGTCCGCATGTATATATATATATATAAAGATTATAGACGATTATATAAGGCCTGTGTAAGAGCTATGCAAATATCCCCACCAAAAATCTTCTGTAGTACAGAACATTTTAGGGTCCTGAATTTCCCACTGACAAGACATCCCAAGAGTGGCCAAACGTATGTCCTGATTGATATCAATGCTTCTTTTGCAGCATCGCATTGAACACCGCCAACGGTGTATGTATGCGAGTGTACTTGCAGTCCATGGACTTGTCATGGTTAGACAGGGGCCTGGTCCAACAACCGGACCAACAACCGATTAATCTACCATATAATTTATCCTAATTTTAGTGTAAACTGCATGTGGTTACCTCGGCAATCCTCGGCATATAATTGTGCAAACGGTCGCGGCATTCGGCCTGCTTAAGGGACCCCACTCTGCCTCGGGTGCCCAGCCTTGCTACACTGCGTCTGGCATCCGACGAGGCTGTAGCCGTTGAAGTCTTCGCCCAGGCGATGCGCACCACCCAAATTGTCACACCAGTGGTCTTTGGCTAACAATGTATAGGTGACCTGCAGTTGTGACATGCTGTGACAAACCAAAACCCCAAGCTTCTTGGGAACAGTTGAGCAGTGGAATGCCATGCTATGCCTGATTCACCTTAAGACCTTGGACCATGTTGGCCCTATATATATATATAAGATTCTATAATTACCTAAAGCACGGTGCCTGCCAGCAGATCTGCAATCAAAGCATGTCAAAAAGAGAATCCATAGAGATTGTGTAGTAGAGATTGCTATTGATCAAGAGAGATGAATAGGGATCAAGACTAGAGATGAATCAATAGAGTCTCAGCAAGTGAGCGATGGCATGTCATGGCTATATGCTCCGCACAAAACATTGAGAGCCCAACAGCCAGCTGCATTTCGTCATGGTGAAGTCAAAACGCACCACCATGGGAAAGCCAACATGAGTTTACACATCCCACCCGTGGTGCTTTTCAACCAGGCAGCCTACAAAAGGCCTGTCAAACAAAGGAGATCAAAGCCAGGGCAAGGCGACGAGAATCGAGTGATGTTGATTGCAAGATTGCCTGTCCTGAGCCCTTTCTAGCAGCATCAACTGTTGCTTTAGACTAGCTAAAGCAAAGAGTCAACGATCGCATGTGTTTTCTTCTTGCCGAACCTATCCGGTGACGTTTCAAAACATCAGCATGACAGCGAAAGAGTGATTCACAATGATTCACGGCCTCCTAATTGTGCCGTAATCGCGCTTAGAAACAGCTGAGGATGCTGAGGTGGATTGGCAGTGGTGGTGGGACATACGTATTCAGTACACCGGACCAGCAGCAAAATGATGCCTGTCTGTCAGGCTCTGATTATCTAGGGTTGCTTCTCTGGACGCTTGTCTGTTTGCTTCAGCTGTGGAGTGCAAAACTGTTAAAGAAAACAAGAGGTCTTCGAGACTCTGCACGCAAAATGCTTCAAAGATATCGCGCGGTCCAAAACATTCCAAAGCGATCCAGATCGTCAGTCTGAGCTTTCTAGCATTAAATGAATCTAGTAACAATATTTAGCAATCAAAGTGTCATCTGCCTTCAACGTTCAGTAAGCGCAATAAGGCAAGCCCCTTCTGCAAATATTTGTCTCCCCCAGCGTCTCAAAGGCTTTGCTGGTTCAGGCTCGGTTGGCTCCGGCGCTTCCTCTGGCAGAGAAAACTTGGTCAATTTTAAAATGAGCAAGAACCTGATAGAACATGATAGAACTTATTAGGACCTAATAGAACCACATATGTAATTCATATAGATTCATATAGAACCTGCCCAGGAGGTTCCTAGCTTCGCTTCAACATGCTTCACCTCTTTGCACGCAAACCTTTCTTTCACCCCCAGAAGCAACAATAGCCTTGTCTTCCAGCTCTGAAAAACAAGTTCTGTGGGTCCTGTTTTCCTTATTCTTCCTTGCGGTTCAAACATGTTTAAACGGTTATAATATATTATAATCGCTCTCAAACTCGTTTCGAATAATTTCATTACATCTGTCCCATGACTGATTCTTTAGCAAGATCTGGGTACAGCGCAACCTTCCTTGCGAACCACTGCATGCTTCAATCTCCAGACTGAAACTGCAAGGTCTGAGCAAAAGAATCATGCAG